GGGGACGGGGCGGCTGGAGCGGGGGAGGCGCCGCAGTGTGACCTCTTTCCGTCCCTCAGCGGCACCAGGAGTACCTGAAGATGCTGAGCGAGAGGGAGCAGGCCCTCGGTATGTGTCTGGCCCTGGCAGGAAGGGGGGTCGGGTGGGTTGGACACGAAGGAACAAGCAGGGGAACATCCCTGAGGTGTTACCAGGTCCCCTCTGCTGGAGCTTGCCCTTCATGCTTCTAGTGCTGGTGTTAAAGCTCCTCTGCCCTTTAACCCTGAGTGCAAAGGCTGGGTCTCCCACCCTGGCTTGGCAGTGCAGGAGCGAGGGACTGTAACTTGTCAAAAGTTGGGGTGCTTTGCATGCAGGATTTCTTGTCTCCCCAGATGAGGCTGATGAACTGGAGCACTTGGTGACGTCACGAACGGAGTCTGTGAAGATCGACCACCCAAACCACATCGTAACAGTGACCACCATCAGTGACCTGGACCTCTCAGGGGCACGCCAGCTGGGATTGACCACCCCTGTGGTAAAGCCTTTTGCTGCCTCTCTGACTGTATCAGCTGTAAACTTTCTTGGGGCTGGCTGGGTAGGGCTTGTACTCCCTGAGTATGCTCAAAGACTTGCAGCTGACTGGGAGCAGGGATGAAAAGGGAAACTCAGAACTTTAACGTTCCTCCACAGCTTATGTTTGGCCTCTGAAACAGAAGTCTAAAGAGGATGTCTTGTGTGAACACCTTGACTCCAAATCTCCCTGGAATCCTTTGGTAGTCCCAGCTGGCCTTATGTTAGTGAAAAGCATCACAAGGTGTGATGGGGACAATGTAGTAGTTTAAAAGTCAATACAGCACAAGCAGCAAGTTTTCAGACTTCAGTGCATGAGCTTTCTTCAACCTCTTTCCTGTGTCTTGTCCAGGAAAAATTGCTATTAGCTTCAGGAGGGATTTCTCTCTCTATGATCCTGTGCTTGCACCACAAATAAGGAAACCATTCCATTCTGGCTGTGGTTGCTTTTTTTTCCTCAAAACATACTGTAACTGAGCTTTCATACTTGTTTCATAGAGGCTTTCAGGTGCTGGTTGACTTGATACTTTTGATCTTCTTGAGTCATAGCTAAATTTGAGCTCTTTCAGGAAACGTCTGTTTGGCAGTTAACCTTTTACATTTGTAAGGTCATCTTCTAATCTGAAAAGCCACTTAAAGAGATTTTAATAGTTAATAAAAAAGCTGAAACCATTAATAGTTTAGACTTCAGTTGCATGGCTATTAAGATAATGCTGAAGTTTTTATTTCTTGGGGTGTATTACTTTGGGGGTTCTCACTGTCTCTTACTTTATGAGGGGCTGCAATAAGAAACCCTGATATTTGGACAGCAAGAAATGTGACGAGTTAAAGACTTCAGCTGTTATTAGATGGCTCACAAAGTTGGAGGAAACCAAGAAGGCAGCAGAACCACCAAAATCATAAGACTGCCTATTTTAATGGGTCTGTAGGGATTTTTTTTTTTTATTCTTGCTTCCTTTTTAAGGGAAAAAGGGATGGAGCAGAAGAAGAGAAAGGGGAAGAGGTGATGAACAAGCCTGTAAGAGCAATGCCCAAGAAGTCCAGAAACCCCTTCCTGTCTGAAAAGTATGTATCAATTCCTTCAGCTCTTTGTTGGTAGGCTCAGGAAGATCTCGCATGCCCAGATCAGTGGTGTGGCTGCAGGGAGGGGATGCTGTGCAGCCCTGGGTGCCAGTGGCAGGAGCCAGCAGAGGGCACTGGCAGAGCACAGGCCTGCCCTGGATGCTCCATTCCTGTCGGTCCCTGGTGTCAGCTGCAGCACCAGGAGGACTCAATGCTGGGCGGGCCTTGTCCTGAACTGTTTACCTAGTTCTCCTCAGCAGATATTGCAGGGAAGGGCGTGTTGCAGGGCATGGAGTTTGTCTCTGTGATTGAAGGTCAGAAGACCCTGAAGCTTTAAAGCTTTGGCTTTTTTTTTCACATTTTTCAGTATCCAGGATTTACAACTACTTTGGGGATGCAGAGAATTCTTTTAACTCCATGGTGGCTGGGTGCGGCTCACTCCTCAGAATATTCATTTTGCTTGTTACTGGGCACATGGACTTCCAGGTTTCCTGCCCTGTCAGGTTGATGCCCATCACAGTGGAGTTCCCCCTGGGGCTTGCTGTGGCTGGCATCAGTTCCTGCTGGGCCACTCAGGGCTCTCCTGCTTGTGCTGTGGTGTCGCCTTGCTCCTGCAGACTTTGGTCCCCAAACATTTCTCTCTTCCTGCCCTGCACAGGATCTCTGCTCTTACTGCCACGCTGCACATGCACAGCCAGAAAAAGAGGAAAGGAAAGAGACCCCAGCGTGGGCAAGGCCCACGAAAGAAACCCCAGAAATCCAGCACGGGGCGAACGACCAAGACTCAGCGCCGGAGGCTGACGGGCAAGATGGGCCGTGACCAGGATTAACAGAGAGCCTAGCACTCAGCCCAACAGCTGGACACTGCTCCACATCTGGCCTGCTGCTGGCTGGAGACCCTTCACTGTGCTCAAGGGCCTCATTTGCTTGGCTCTCTGAGCAGCAGTAAGCCCAGTTCAGCCTCTCTCGCTTCCTGAGAGCTGGCCAGGGTGACTAGACACTCTGCCCATTTATTTATCTCCAGCTAAGTGTCTGGCTGACACAGAGCCTATGAAACTTCTGCTGGGGGTCACATTCTCTGTTTGGTGTAACTCTTCCCTCTTGGGCTTCTCCTTCCAGAGCTGATACTTGGCTTTCTCAGAGGAGAGGCTCTGGGTTGGAGTGCAACAGGTGACTTAGGAGGCTTGGAAGAACTCTGCTTCCACTTGTGCATCAGTGCCCTGGCATTTCTGCTGTGCAGTAAATCCTTGTACCATGGAGACATGGTGCCCTCTTGTCTCATGTATTTCTTCTCCAGTGCCACTCTTGAACACAAGGGTATTTTTTGTTTGGTACCTGTGATGGGTGAAATTTGGGAACTTTATGAAAATGACTTCATAAAGATTTATTCATAAGAAAAAAAAAAAAAAAATCCAACCACATTTGTGACTTTTTTGGAGCATGACAACAACTCTACTAACACCAGTCCCAGCTGGAAAGAGGGGAGATGATTCCTGGTGCTTAAAGGATATTGAAATCCACTGGTGCCTAGGAAATGGAATAGCTGGGAGCTATTTCTGTGGCAATGCAGAGCCAGCCAGAGCAGGCA